GAGAGAGAGAGAGAGAGAGAGAGAGAGAGAGAGAGAGAGAGAGAGAGAGAGAGAGAGAGAGAGAGAGAGAGAGAGAGAGAGAGAGAGTTCCCTATAAACACAATGTACCCAGATAAAGAATATTTAGAAGGGATTTTCTTGGTCTAGTACAACCATAACAAGGGGGCGTTGCGTTCAAGGGAAGAAAGTAATGGGCACACAGAGAGAGAGAGAGAGAGAGAGAGAGAGAGAGAGAGAGAGAGAGAGAGAGAGAGAGAGAGAGAGAGGGAGGGAGGGAGAGAGAGAGAGAGGGAGACAGAGAGACACAGAGAGAGGTGTCCTCCTACGAGCTAAGCACATTATGTTTCTACCGGACTGGAAAGATCACTTGTCGATGTTCTTTATCAGGGTGTGTTATGTTCGGGGGCCAGACACCCTCTCTCTCTCACACACACACACACAAACACACACCCTCTCCGTTCGAGGGTCCATTTGCTTTTTTTTTGCCAAGGGTCCAACGGCCAGAGATACTGGGGCATATGGACAAGTTGCACCGGGCCCGGTAGGGGTATATGCACAAGATGGGAGATCCAATTGAAGAGTGGAGTATTTCACAAAGTTTCACAGCCTTTATAGAGGCATTTCGCCGTACCCATGCCTTTTAGGGGTGTCTGATGAAATACCAGCTTTCAAGGGCATTCCAACAATTTCTCCACCAAAAGAAATGTTTTTCCGCCCCGGTCATTTCACGGCTATCGGTCCCCATAAGCCCCCTTTGGGCCGGGTAGAGTAAAGAGGGATTGAATGCCTGAATCTGGACTTGTTTGTCGAAAGGGGCAGAAAGCGGGAGATAAGAGGGATTGAATGCCTGAATCTGGAGTTGTTTGTCAAAAGGGGCAGAAAGCGGGAGTAAAGAGGGATTGAATCTGGACTTGTTTGTCAAAAGGGGCAGAAAGCGGGAGTAAGAATGCCTGAATCTGGACTTGTTTGTCAAAAGGGGCAGAAAGCGGGAGTAAGAATGCCTGAATCTGGACTTGTTTGTCAAAAGAGGCTGAAAGCGGGAGTAAAGAGGGATTGAATGCCTGAATCTGGACTTGTTCGTCAAAAGGGGCAGAAACCGGGAGTAAAGAGGAGGGATTGAATGCCTGAATGTGGACTCGTTTGCCAAAAGGGGCAGAAAGTCGACATTGAATTCCTTTTCCGCAAACATGTACAGATTCGGGCATTCAATCCAATCCTTTTCCGCAAACATGTCCAGCTCTGATGAACCACCGAAAAAAAGACTAGTGTCTCTGCAAAAAAAAAAAAAAAAAAAAAAAAAGTCCGCATTCGCGAGTTTCGGAAGACGTGCAAGAGGGACACTGGACCCGGTTTCCAGAAGCCCATAGCAAGGCCTGAAAGGCGGTCCTGTCCAGATTTGACAGGTAATTGAATTGGTTGGGCTTCAAAGAATTAGCCTTTTAAAAAAAAAAAAAACAATAAATAAAGGACAAAAACTTGCGAACATAACACTGCACTAAGCCTTACGGACCGCGACCTTGCGTGGCTGTTTTACTCGGTTCCATCTCGATTCGAACTCCGGTGTGCATCTCAACAGTTTGTGGGTGTACCAACTGAGCTAAGCCCGTTTGTCTTGCGTAGTTTTCCAGCCCCGTAGACAGCGAGAGAGACACACCCGTGAAGTCCTATCCGGCATCTACGACCACCCCCTTGAACCACCTCCACCTGTTGATACCCTCTGGTGCTTATTTCTCCGCTCCTCTGGTCGTTACCCCGTCGGCTTTTTTGCATGATCGACCTCTGTCTACTCCTACTCGCTATTCCTCTACCTCCTTTCTCTACCGGAGGTGCCGTGCTGTCTTCGTCTCTCCTCGCTTCCTATATCTACCTCTTTATTGTGCCTTCGTCCTCCCTCCTCCCTCCTCCCTCCTCCTTCAACCCTACTACTCTGCATCCCACCTCCCACCTCCTTCCTCCTTCCTCCTTCCCCCTTCTTTGTCGTTCGCTGTTTCTCAAACTCTCTCCGTCTTGCCTTCCTCCTCCCTCTCCCCTTTTCCCGCTCGTCTTCCTGCCCACTCCATTTTCCATCGTCGTCCTTCCTCTGCGCTGGCCTCCTTTGTCTACCTCCTCTCTCTCTGTCCTCGTTCCTCCTCCTACCTCCCCTGCGTCTACCTCCTCTCTCTGTGTTCTCTTCCCTCCTCCTTACCCTCTCTTCTTGCTCATCTTCCCCCCTCCTCCTGTTTCTCCTGTTTGCTCCTGTTTCCCGCTCCCTCTTCCTCTCTCTTCCTCCCTCTCCCTCCATCTCCCTCCCTTTTCGTCCCTCTTTCCCCGTCCTTCTCCTGCTCCCTCCCTCCGCCTCCTTCCTTCGCCACGCGCCTGGCCTTTGCGTTTTCGTTCTCGCTGCCTCGTCCTGCTCCCTTGCTTGTCGTCCTCCCTCCCGTTTCATCTTCCTCTGTCCGTCCTCCATTTGCTCCCCTCCTTCCCCCCTGCCTCTCCCCCCCCTCCCTTCTCTCTCTCTCTCGCGCGCGCGCTTTTTCTCCCTCTCTGTTCCCTCTTCGCTCCTCCTTCCTGCCCCCTTCCTTTCTTCCTCTTTTGTCCCTCTTCTCCCTCCCGCACATTCACCCTTTCTCCTTCCGCCTTGATCTACCTCCCCCTTTTCCTTTCCCCTACCTTTCCTCTACCTTTTCGTGGCCCTTCCTTCTTCTCCCTTCTTGCTCCGATTGCTTCTCCCTTCTCCTTCCTCCCACTTCCTCACCCCTCTTCCTCTCTCCTCCTTACTCCCATTTCTTCGTCCTCCTCCCTCTTCTTCCTTCCATCTCTTCTTTTTCTTCGTCTTCTTTTCCTCTTTCTCCCCTCTTTCTCCCCTCTTTCTTTCTCTTCTTCCCTTTTCCTTCCTTCTTCTCCCCCCACATTCCCCGACCCCCTTTTCCTCCCGTTCCCCCTGCTCCTCTTGCTCCCTCTTTCTCCCTTTCCTACTCCCTTCCCTCTCCCGTGCCGGTTTGTTCACCCACCCACTCTCTCACTCCATCCTTCACCCTCCACCCCCTTCGCTCCCTTCTCTCTGCCTCCTCATAGCGAAGAAAAGAACCCCGGTTCGAAAAGGTTTGCTCGAAAAAGGCCAACTAGGGTTCAAATCCTCCACACCACCCAGTGCTTGCCGCTGACAAAAATGGACTACGCTTCGAACCCCTGTCCTCTCCTCCCTTAAATTCAGTGCTTGCTTGAGAAGAAAAAGAGACTTTTGACCCTATATTCCCTTTTTCTGCGAGACGTGTTTTTTTCCCCTTTTTCCCTGAGGAAAAGGCAGGGCAACTGAGGGTGGTCACCAGCCAGGTACCCAGCAGCAAAGGACAGCGCCTCACAACACTGCACAAAAGGCGCCCCCCCC